TTTTCTAGCGTGAATGTATATGCAGCAGATTCCCTAGACCACAATGAAAACGCATTTCCCCGTTAAAAACCACAAATATAATTGTTATTTTTGTAAATGCTTCTAGACATCAAAAAGTAAAGTGTAAGACACTACCAATCTTTTTGTCACTATGTCAGAGCATAGTGATAGCGAGATGTATCCCTGCCTTAAAAACGATGGTAAAATGCCCTTAAACAGATGTGTAATGGATTTCACGGCGTTGTATTGAGCACTCGGACTGCGCCTTTATGGTTGATAACGAAGCAATCTACGATATTTGTCGTCGCAATCTTGACATTGAACCTCCATCGTACAACAATTTGAATCGCCTGATTGGCCAACTCGTCTCTTCAATTACGGCTTCTCTTAGATTCGATGGTGCCCTCAACGTAGACTTGACGGAATTTCAGACCAATCTGGTTCCGTATCTTCTTATTCATTTTCCATTGGCTACCTATGCTCCAGTGATCTCTACTGAAAAGGCTTACCATGAGCAATTCCCGGTGTCCGAAGTGCCCAATTTCTGTTTCGAGCCGTCCAATCAGATAGTTAAATGTGATCCTCGTCACGGAAAGTATATGGCATGCTGCATGTTGTATAGTGGCGATTTTTTCCAAAAGATGTCAACTACCAACCACCAACGGTCGTTCCAGGTGGCGACTTGGCCAAAGTACAGCGAGCTGTCTGCATTTCGAGCAACACCACGGCCATCGCGGAGGCATGGGCCCGTCTTGACCACAAATTCAATTTAATGTACGTCAAACGCGCTTTCGTCCACTGGTATGTCGGTGAGGAGTTCCCGGAAGCATGCGAAGACTTGGCTGCATTGGAAAAAGACTACGAAGAAGTTGGCGTGGATTCTGTCGACAATGAAGGCGGGAAGACGAGGAATATTAAAATTGTACAAATTTAAAATTTAAAACAATTATTTGTAAATAAATACATTGATATATAAAGTGTGTGTTTTTCTATTTAAAATAAAAACTTATGTAGTGCACGACAACAAACCTTTGTTACCCTCACTAAGCTTGTATGGCACTGGCAATGTGGCAGGAATCCATTACATGCGAAGGCACAATAAATAAGACTGCTCCGTTGATTAGGTAAAACAGTGTTAGCGGCAAACTTCCGACACTTCCGATAATGCGATCATCGGTTATTATGTATGGTACAACTTTGCAAACAAAGTCTTCGTTTGAGATTCATTGCCTTTTAATTATAGAGTATGTGTTTAGCTATCACTCGTCTAATGTGGCGAAACATAAAGTTTTCGTTTTTAAAGTACGGTAAAGACTCCAATTGACAAAAAATATTAAATCTCGAAATTTCGACCTTCAATCTCGAAATTTCCACTTTCAATCGAACGTGGCGAATTGTATCATACAAAGATAACTGCACTCAAATAGACAATAAAGGTTAGATTTGTTGTTTATTTTATTGAATATTGAACACTCCCAATTAAATGTGTTCTATATACTCGTACTCTATAAGCCCCTTACAAAGGTGGTCCACAAGTGACATACATTTAATTCATCGTGGCAAAACTCACGACAAAACTACAATATTTGACGGCAAAACATTATTACTTCACGGCAACACACTATTACTCCATTTCCCACAGCGGAAGTTGCCATGATATCCTATAATTTCCCCTTTTTGAAGTCATTTTTTAATAATGTGACTCCCCGTATAACTCGCTGTGGCTCGGAGGGATACGGCCTCTATACAAAGAGTCGCTCGTACGCGACACTGGTTCGAAATACCAATGAATTATATATAGATTTATACAATTATATATACCCTTCAGTTTATGCAAATCGCTCCACTCTATTGGCGTCTGTACATCGAACCACACAAACTCACCGACAGAAAAAATCGAAATGCAAAATGTTGAAAGTCCATGTACGGAAAACCACAATGATATGTCACTCGCGGCGCGAGCAGTTGACAAGATTGCATCCTTACGATATGAATACGTAAACAAACACGACGCTGTTGGCAGATGACTATATGATAAAATAGAATAATATCTCCTTGTATAGTATTGTTGTTCCGGGACTGTTGTGCCTGGTTGTTTTACCCCGTACTGCTGCAGTTATTGTCGCTGAGACTGTGAACATTCAAATCACCACACGATTGTGTGAAGTGAACTCCAAATTCGAGATGACAAAAAATATATTATCTGTAAGCTTCGGGGTATATGAGATTTGTCTCCCGGCTGTAAGAATTATTCACCTCGTTGCGCTTCGACGAATAGTTGTCACATGTGGGAGACAAATCTTGATAGACACCTCAGTTGCAGTAAATTAATATTTATTTATTCATAGTTAAACCTCATTCCTGCGTACGTCACGTTGATTTGAACGAAAGGCGGCTTCGGGCGGACATCAGGGCATTTCACCCACCTGACAACACCTGAAAACAACGATCGAAATCTCTAAAAAAAAATGTACTTTGGGCTACTTCCTGAGACCCCCCCTCTTTGTACATTGCACTAAGACTACCCCAACATGTGCAATATGAATTTGGTTGTTCTTGTTTGCATATAAGTTGTGTTTGTTGTGTTTTACCGATATCAATAATCACGGCTCTTCGACAGGCGTTCCACAGCAGTTCGTACTGTTCCGAAAACACATGATTGGTATCCGAGCTTCATAAAACGCTCTGTGAGGTAGCTATGCCCTTGAGAATATCGCGATTTTGAGAAGATATTCCACGAGAAGATTTCACGCGCAACATATGCATACGTAAACATCGTGACCATGGCGACATACTTCATTGCAGACGAGATCGGAAACTATGACAATTTTGATCTTTTAGTCCATACCTAAATTTGACGTTTTGATGCGGGAATTGTACCCGAATGCAGAGAAAAGTAGTTCTGGTTTCTATAGTAAATCTAGTATGATTAAAATAGGATTTGTCGTCGATCGTCACCATCTGAACAAGTAAAAGTAGATGTTCTCATCATTTATTATTCAATTGAACAATTATTAACTATAACTTCCAGGGATAATGAACCCATCAGGAAGATAAATCTTTATATCCTGACTAAAAGCGGAATTGGGTGAGTTATTTTTCGCATTTTTGTTTTGGTTCGGTTGTTAATTCACATTGTACTAATTACGTCTTTGTGGAGTTTGGCAGGTTACACAAAATCTTGCTTTACGCGTTCTCAGTACAATCATTGAAAGAAAATCATTGATTTGCAGCAAATCTCGGAATTATTTGCATGACATTGATATAGTTAGCATTGTTTGATGGGTATGTATGTTACAGTAACAATGCCTCGCTAGCCAACAAACATTTTGTTAACATTAGACAACCTGATTTTGCAAATATTGAGAACAATATAAGATGTTTACGTATGATTACTGTAAGTAACATAGACAGGTGCTTTTCTAGATTGAGTTTTTACCCGTAGTACATTTTCAAAAACTTTCCCACTTCACAACATTTCTTTGCAAAAATTCTAACAATTTTTGTGAAAGTAACAAAAAATATATAATTTAACACCACAAAATGTAAATAAACCAACGTCAATACTAATTAGATTGATGTTAAAATCTAAAATTGAACAAAATATGCACATTTTACTATTTATAATCCAGGTAAATTTTACACAGACGATTAGTGTACTATGTTGGCTTTGTGATGTATATACATGATATACTGCATGAATCAAATGTAATTTACATACATATTAAGATGAATATGGTGTGAATATTAATGATTAAAATAAGTTTCGGAAAGGACCAATTGGCGACAGTTTTCCCCCCAAATATATAAATGTTCGTGCTGAATATACCACAAGTGGAGCAAATTTGATTGTGCGCATTACAAAGAAAATAATTAGAATTAGTACATGATTTATATCAAACTCTTGACATTCCTGTAGCGTGGAGAATACAATAAATTGAAGCTGCAGAGCAACTTTTCTGAAATAATAGAAAATTGAATAAAATACGTTAGTACGTTACTGTGAAGAATAAAAATTGAGAGTTTCTTGGATTGTTGTAACAGATGTTAACAATATTTTCATAACAATGTATTTAGTTTACTTTACACCCAATCTAGCCGGAAAGGTTTCTCTATGGAGAATTAAAAAAGTTTCCATCGTTTTGTAATATTTTGTTGGTAATGTATTGACATAACTTAATATTATTCATATAAACAGGCTCAGGATCCAGATCTTGAACCACAAGGTTAGTATTCATTATAGCGTGTAACCCCAACCTTATCTAACACTCACAGTAAATCAATGCTTAATCCAGTTTTCAAATTCACTGAATGTGTTTAGAATTACATCAAATTTTAAGGTTTAAGGTATTTATGTATGTATGCTTATCAGTTTCTCTGATTATGTAGACGAAGATGTCCAATCTTGTAGTACAACGACCATTTGCTTAGATTTTGAAATGAATTTAGTTGTCATTGAAATATCAGTTTTGTTTATTTATTGATAATTTATTACATTACAATTTATAATTTTTTTAGGATTTTTTTAGGAGAGGTTAATCTGCAGGCAAAAAACTATAGATGCGATTTGTGATTAAATCTGGTTTTGGTTTTCATGAAAACAAATTTGATTCCTACCATTAGTCGTTGCCAAACCACTCATCCCGTCGAATATTCATGATTTTGTTAAAAGGGAATGTACCTTATATTTTTTTGTCTGGTTGCCATGAAAACATTAATTTTAGCAATGATTTATCACCGACAATTTAAAACATTTTAATCGAAGTTATATGACTTTTATTGGTATCAGTTTTTATTAGGAATTGTCTTTGTATTGGTGGCCCTCCTCCAATTTTCGTTTGCATAATCGACATTTAAATGATGATATTCATATTGAGACTGTAAACTGTACGCCCAGGTATTTGAAAACGAATATAAGACATCAAAACTAATTAGCATATTATGGGTTGAAAGATAAGCTCACTCCTGCTCAAGTATTTTTTTCCCGCCAAACATTACCATGGAGAATATTTATATTCGTTAGAAAGAGTACCTTTGCTTGCTGTTTGAACCTCCCAATGCATATGAATAAAGAAACATAGGCTTCATATTTTCACTGCCAGGCAACCATCACAATGAAAACAAAAGCCGAAAATTCCCAGTAAACGAAACTTTGTGATAGTTGCAGAAACTCCCCCACGTGTATAACATATATAAGAATTATTATATGCTAAGAATTATTTCGAAGTTAATTTTGCGTTGTTTTCTCGGCTTTATCTGTTGTCACTGGCCATTCGTCTAGCGTACGACACCAGCAAGTGCAGAGCCCATACAAATACAAATACACTGGTGCACGCCTTAGTAACATAGATTGTCATGTGATTTAGCTGCACCCCGAGAATACATATCCATGTCAATCATAATGCAATTATAGACAAAAGAAAAGACAATAAGTAGTTGTTGGTAAGTGAGAAACAAATACAAAATAACTTGATATGGTACGCATAATAATTTAAACTCTAGGCTGCTTTTTGTATGTCACCATTCAATTACGAGTTTGCACATATCAATTCAAAGTGAGATCAAAAAGGGTTACGTGATAACGAACTAATCATGAATGACAATTGTATATGTTTATTTTTGTCGCTGTGAATTAGAAATCATCGTTAATTTACGTGATGTAGTTGTTTATGCGTTCAGCACATGTACTCAGCATTTTTTTACAAGTCGCATTGCATGTATTAAAGAAAGCGTGAGCAAACCCTGTTCAATGTATTATATGAACATATATTTTGAACATGCTTGGATGTTTATTATTGTAAATTTTCACAAATATAAAAATATACTATAAAGTTTAGCGCACATTAATATGTGTTTGTTTGCTAGTTTACAAAGCAGTATTAGCACTAT